AGAACCCCCCAGCCTGCCCCATGCCCCCGCTGCTGCCCACTGCCCTCGTCCAGGGGGCCACGCCTGTCCCCCACTCAAAGCCAAGGCTACAGCCACTCCCCTTCTCACCCCTGCGTCCCTGGATCTTCCCCATAGTCCACACAATTTCTCCCACGTAAATAACCGACGTTGTCTTGAACCCCTGCCTTCCTACCATCACTCTCATGTCTCTGCTCCCCTTGGCAACAAAATTCCCAGGGGGAGCTGCCCATACCCTGTGTCTTCAACTCCCCTCCTCTTGTGCTCTTCCGTTATTATATTTTAATATATTACATTTTGGTATGTACAAAAGAATGTACGGTAAGTCCCCTACATACGAAGGAGTTCCATTACGAGAGCGCATTCGTTAAGTCCAATTTGTTTGTTAAGTGCAACGAAGTTAGCCTAGGTACCCAACTAACACAGTCGGCTATATACCGCTGCTTTTACACTTGCTTCTGGACATCCTGGGCTTGAAATAAAAATACTGTACTACTGGGCTTCCCTGGTGGCGCAGTGGTTGAGAGTCCGCCTGCCGATGCAGGGGACACGGGTTCGTGCCCCGTTCCGGGAAGATCCCACGTGCCGCGGGGCGGCTGGGCCCGTGGGCCATGGCCGCTGGGCCGACGCGTCCAGAGCCTTTGCTCTGCAGCGGGAGAGGCCACAACGGTGAGAGGCCCGCGTACTGCAAAAAAAAAAAAAAAAAAAAAATACTGTACTACTGTCCTCTACACAGTAAAGTACACGAAAGCACAGCCACTCGTAGAGGTTGCATGCACGTGACAACGTACACCAGACACATGAACTTATGTGACTGGACATGTGAACGCACATTCGCATCTTTGAAAGTTCGCGACTTGAAGGTTCATTAGTAGGGGACTTACTGTAGGTAAATGTGTGTACATTATAAAGTTTAATTACACACCCATATCACCCAGACGGTCCTTCTCACTCTGCCCCCGTCTCCCCAGCGCTGACCCCTCTGCTGGATTACAGGCTGCCCCTGTGTTTCACTTTTAATAATCCTACTGCCATTGTGTACATGCCCACACTATAGGGTTTAACTGTGGTTTTGAATTTTATAAATAATATGGTGCCACACAGAGTCTTCTGGAACTTGCTTTGTTCACTCGACATTGTGTTTCTAAAACTTGGTCACGTAGTTGTTTGTGGCTGGAGCTCGTCCATGTTCACTGCTGCATAATATTCCACTGCATGAATAAACCTCAGCGTAGGTGCATTCTGTTGGGGACATCTAGGTTGTGTCCATCTCTCTGCAGGGCTCGCTTTGCTCTTTTGGATGTTTTACCACCTGGCACACACGGGCAGGGGGTTCTCTTGAGTGTGTACCTTGCAGGAGAATAAGGTATGTCATATTCAACTACAATAAATAAAGCCAAATTGTTTTCCAGAGAGATCGAGTCCATTTAAATTTCCTCCAAGTATATATAAAAGTTCTAATCATTCAGTTAGTTAGACCTCTTCAATTCTGACCTTGTAGTGACAGTGAAATTACTGCCATGTGGTTTTACTCTGCGTGTCACTAATTACTGGTGAGACCATGCATCTTTTCACATACTTGCTGGACTTGGGAGTTTGCTTTTCTGTGAAAAGCCAGTTCAAGCCCATTTTTTTCCACTGGTTTGTCTTCTCCTTGCTAATTTGTAGGCGCTCTATACGTGGTCTAGATACAAGTCCTTCATCAGTTATATCTGTTACAGATATCTTCTCCCAGGTTGTGCCTTGCCTACCTTATGGCATCTTTTCTTTTTATTTGGCTGCGTCAGGTCTTAGCTGCGGCACGCAGTTTTAGTTGCGGCACGCGGGATCTTAGCTGCTCCTCTCTGGCATGGACAGCCCCGGGCCCAAGGTCCAGGCCACAGGCACCCACACCACCCTGCCCCACCGGCGCCCCTGTGCTGCCCCACAGCCCTGCCCTCCCGCTCCGGCCATGCTCCCATGTTGGTGCCACCCCCTTCCCCCCCCCCCCGGGCCCGCCCCCCAACCAGGCTGGCTGTCTCCAACCTACTTCCTGCCAACACCCAGCCCAGGGCTCCCCGGTCCCTGGAGACACAGGCCCCACCCCACCCCCTAACCCAGGCCCCAGGGCTCCTCCAGCCACAGCCGCCTCCCAGCCTGCTTCCTTCTGTCTTCATCAGCACAGACACAGCAGCTCCCGGTGTCCTCGACTCCTGCCACTGTGCTGGGCAATCCCAGGGTCCTACAGGGCTGATCCCCCTGCACCTGGCACTCAGCCAGAGTGCTGGGGGGGGTGACCAGAGCCGCTGCAGCACAGGAAACAACAGGAGACCTCAGCAGGGCCGCAAGGGTGTAGTGAGAAGTGCGAGCACGTGTTCTCTGTCAAACGCATCTTTGGTGCGGCCGTGATATCCTCCTGAGCTCCACGGAGCGCCTGGCTGGGGACAGAGGACACCAGGAGCACTGCAAAGCGGGTGACCCCCACCAACCCTGCCCACCTTAACGAGCAGCCAAGTCCCAGCTCAGCCTTGAATTCGGCCCTACTTCTCGTTCAGACAAAGGCTCAGAGGCTGACATCACTTGACAACAGGGAACTGACGCAGGGACGGGTGCCCCAGCTTGTGTTCAGAAGGCACCGGGATGGCAGGCACCAGCAGCGGCTTCAGTCGTGCCCCCGACCCCCCGAGGGCAGAGCCCGCGTCTCCCAGAGCCCAGCGTGGGCTGTCCGGAATTATCTGCCGCAGGACAGCATAATCGGAAGGGGCCTCTTTGCACACAAGACATGGAACGTGGACACTCTGAGGTGGACCCTCAGCTGGGACCGGCACAAGGACAGGGCAGAGGGCACATCGCCCACAAGAACCAGGCTCACTCTGGGTGGACAAGCTTGCAGCCCAGTGAGGCCGGGCTCCCAGCCTTGGATCACAGGCGGGTCACAGAGGAAGCAGGCCTCCAGGGGGCCTGAGAAAAGCAAGGAGCTGTCCCCTGGGGATCACGGGGTCCAGCTTACACCGAGTCAGGTCAACTGAACCTGAATCCACCACTAGATGGCGCTCAGACCTGGGTGGGGGGTGAACATACAGCCAGAAGGAACAGCAGCTGACCAGACAGGCCTCACCCTCATCCCCAGAAGAGCAGGGCCTTGCTGAGGCAAGCTGGGTATCGACTTCTAAACCATGCTCCATGAGAGCCTCCCCACCCAAAACCAGCCTTCCAGGAAGGCAGCCTGCACAGGGCGGCAGGTCTGGGAGACTCCTGTCTACCTCCACAAAGGTCCCCAGAACCTGAGGAATATTGGGTGAATGCCCACAATTTCAGAAAAACTCCGGGATCAGAAACCCAATGTGCTTGGACACACAAAACGTTACCAGCCGTTAGAAAACCTCAAGCAGCTGGATTTCGTGACATTTTAGAAGTGCCGTTTTTTAGTTAAGCTTTCCTCTCATCCCACTTCCCAGACAAGCTGGGGAAGATTGAGATGACTTCCTGCAGTGGAGTCAGCATCTGTACCCTGATTTCCCCTTCGGTGCCCACAGCAGACATCACTAATAGATCCCAGCACCCCTTCCCATGAAGATTCCAATCCTTCTCAACAGAACCGCCAGGAGCTACCACCAACCACTCGAACTGGCCCTTGAAATGAGAAACCCATTTATCAACCTGGATCGAGGGCAGACCAAGTGGCAACATGGCCTGCCACGCACTGCCCACTTTCCCCTCCTCCCCACCCCAGCCCCCTCTGTCACACACCCTGAGGACACACAAAGTAGGGCCACCGCTGACTTATACGTCTTTATGCAAATTAGAAAAAGGTGTCCCCCTCCTGGGGTAGACAGTCAATGCCAGGAAACACCCTTGCAGCCAGGTACCCTTGTGCAGTGCACAACCTACACAACCATACCCGGGGTAGTGTTAAGCCCCGACAGTTGTTTTCTTCTTTTCTGTAATGCAAGTACCTGTCTCAAGCTCTGACTGCAGAGGCGTCCACTTCAAACACGGCTATCTCAAATAAACACATTGACAGCCGCTCGATGAGATAAAGAGCCAGGCCACCTTCCTCCACTGAGGCTCCTTTATTTTAGAAATCTTGGTTGATTTTGATAACTGACCATTTGGACCACTTTTTTTTTCCTTCCTTGGCTTTAAATTCCTGCTCTTATGTTTTAAATTCACCAATAAAGAGTGAGCCCCTGAAACCCTCGATCCCAACAAAAGCATAACCCCAGGCCCACACTCTCTCTCTACCCGAGACCTCACTGTGTGGCCCCAGGTGTACTATGTAATTTCCAGGTCTTGTAAGTAATAAACCTTTATTTTTTCAAAGTTTCCCGACGGTGGTTGCTGAAAGGCATCTTGCTAACACAGTACGAACCACAAGGGCTGGTCCACCACGGCACTGGCTTCTGACAGGCTGAGACCGGGTGGTCCCGTTCCAGAGAAGCACAGTCGTGTTGGAATAAGGATGACCTCCTTCTTTGCAAGACTTACTGATGAAGATGATTGGCATTCTCACCCATAAAGAAACGCACCCAATCACACTCACACGAGCCATAAAATAATAAAACACAGTCCAGATTCTTATCATGTAAAACCAGGATCCCAAGCTTAACGCCCTGGAAAGCTGCCGGTTGGCTTGTGCGGGCCTCACGTGGGCCTCTGGTCCCTGAAGGCCACCAGCAGTGAAGGCACCATGGAAATCCCAGGGCCCAGGGGGAGGGCCGCTGCATCTCCCTCCCAGTCACCCTCTTTCCATATTTAGAAACATAAGTCTCAGGGAAGCAGCTTATAAAAAGAAAGTGGCATGGACAGCGCCTGAGGGGCCGCGGAGGTGGTCCAACTCGGCTGCAAACCAGGGCCTGCCTGTGTCCCAGCGTCGGCGCGCACGGTGGCTCTGCCCAAGGGAGAAGCCTCTCCAGTGGGCCGCGGCCGCCTCCTCCCCCGGCCGGCGCCCATCCCGAGGCCACATCACCTGCCGCCGCCGCAGCCAGGAAGGCGTCTGGACGTCACCTGCACAGCTGCAGGTGCGGGTGGTGGCTCAGCTTCTCTGTCAGCTCTTCCTCCGTGGGCTCCTCCAGGACATCCCTGCGGAATCGGGGACAGGATGGATGGGGAGCCCTGGGCACCTCCAGAGGAGCAGGGGAGCAGAGCTGATGCAGCAGCCCCGTCAGTGCTCGGGACGAGGAGCCCCTCAGAACCACCCCCCGGGGACTCAGGTCCACCTCTGGGATGCTTACGTGGCGTCCCTCAAAGCCCGGGAGGACACCTCTCTGCGTGGCTGTAACAACACAGCAAACGCTCAGAGATGGCAGTTTGACCACCCGGGGCTGACTCTGGGACTTCTCTGCACCAGCAGAGGGACAATCTCCAGGTTACCATGGAGAAGAGAAGGGCGAGGCTTCCTCTGGCCACCTGTCTACACCCACCAACAGAATCACCTGGAGACCAATGGAACCTGAGGGTGCTTCCCTAAAGATGTTCACCAGAGAGCAGGACAGAGGCCCGGCCCCGCAGCAGGTGCACAGGCAGACCCCGGGCTCATGGGGACCAACCGCCCGCCCACTGCCTCCCCACACCACGCACCTGAACAGGAGCTCCACGGTCACCTCAGAGGTGGCCTCTAGGTCCCCTGTGAGGGACTGCAGGTGACTGCGGCGGTCCCACTTGTGAAGGAAGTTCTGGCAAGAGGGAGGGAGGGACGGGTGGCTAGTAGGCGTGGGCCCTGCGCGGAACCAGCCTTGTCCCCCTACCCCAACCCCACAGTGTCGGCCTGGCTGAGAAGTCCACCCTGGACACCGGGATCCAAGGCCACCAGCTCCTACGGGAGCAGATGCCTGAGAGCCCTCCTCCAGGCCCCCTCCCACAGGTCAAAGGTCAGGAGCATTCCAAGAGGCCCCCAGCAGCCAGGGCGAACAGCCCCAAGGGAGGACAGAGCCTGAACCCTCCAGGGCTGCCCGAACCCAGCACGGCCTCTTTGGACCAAGTTCCGGGTGGGCTCCCATCAGCAAGTTAGCAACTCTGACTGAAAAGAGCCCGGGCAGGGTCGCCGATACCTCCAGAATCAGAGCCAGGAGCAGGTTGACCCAGATGACGGACGACACCAGCCACCACAGCACAAAATAGATCTTGGACCACCTGAGGAGAACAAGGACGCCACCGGGGCCGCCCGTGAGCTGAGCGCGGCTGCTCCCCTGACCCTGCGGCCCCGCCTGTGACATCGACGTTCCCACCCTCAAGCTGGCCCAGCCTGGCCTTCAGGGGCGCTCGGCCAGCGGCCAGGCGGCACGGCCGGCGAGAGCGGGAGCCGGTCTGAGCTCTGCAAGCTCCGGGCTGAGCCCCGTCACCCCACCAGCCCCGCTGTCACAGCCCCCAGAAGCCACCTGCTCCTGCACGCGCCCCGCCATCCCCGGGTGGCGCAGACCCAGACGCGCACCCCACGCAGAGCCACGACCGGGGCCGCCAGGACGGGTCACTCACGGGCCCGCGTAGCGCCGGAAGGCATCCAGAAACACCTGCCAGTTGTTCACGACCATCACATCCCACAGAGTGACCAGGGCGGCCTGTGGGGCAGCAGACGCAGGGTCCAGGAGGCCGCGGGAGGTAGAGGCGGGGGTCCCGAGGGGCGGGGGGGCCGCAGGACTCACCGCAAAGTCGTCAAAGTTGTTGGTCCAGTACTCCAGCTGCTCGAAGCTCCCGCAGGGCGCGGAGCCGTTGTCAGGGGCCAGGCTGGGGAGGCACAAGCCGGGTCGGTGGGAGGCGGGGCAGGACACACACGCGGGCGCCCTGGCACCGCCGCGGCCCCTGAGGAAGCGGGGGAAAGGGGAGACGGCCCCCGACCTCCGAGGTGCTGAGGGTGGCGAGGAGGCCAGCGCTGTGGACACACATGGCCAGCGGCCGGCCCGGGGGGGGCCTCGGACCTACAGTTCAGGCCTGGCCTTGGACACCCCCACTGCCGGCGCGCGGCCTGGCCTGCAGGCCCAGAAAGGGGCACGGCTGGGGGCTCTGAGCCAGCACGGGAATCACCCTCAGTGCAGGCTCGAGGGAGGGCTTCGGTGAGGGGCGGGCGGGTGGAGAGGCCAAGGAATTAAGGGGCCTCCTGGCTCCCTCCTGGGGAGCTGCGTCTCACCCCTCCACCCCCCTCCCGGCCCCATCACCCGCGGCTCCAGCGCCCCCAGAGGCGGGGCGCTCTCTGCACCTCGGAGCCCCCCTCACCTGCTGTTTCCAGGAGGCACGATGACACCTCGGAACAGGATGATGCCGATGATGGCAAAAATGTAGTAGACCCCCTAGGGAGGCAGGCGGGGTCTGTCAGCACCCCCCGGAGGGACCCCCGCAAAGCCAGGCTGAGGCCTGCAAGGGTGGCATGCCAGCAGGAACTCTCAACTGCGGGCACTGCCGGCCTCCCCGGGAACACTGGGGCTCCCAGGCACCTGCGCCAGAGGGAAGCGGGAAGGAGCCACTGTGGGCAGCCCCAAGATAAACCGGGGGCCCAGGCATAAGAACGGAGGCTGTCCACCCCTTCTCCAGGGCTGGTATGGCAGGAAGAGGGTTCCACTGAGAACAGGGCAGCGAGGGCCAGGGGACGGTGTGCCATGGAAGGGTGGCCAGGGGCCGGCCAGGTCCCTCTGGAGAAGTCCCACCACTCTCACCACATCCATCAGGAGACGTCTGAGCGAACCACTGGGCAGCCTTGTGCCGCAATCAGAGAAGGGGCTGCTGGCCGCCCCCGACCTGTCCCCAGCATGCCCGGTGGCGGGGGGAGGGGTGCAGGGAAGAGGCGTACACCCCAGGCTAACCCAGCCCCCCTCTGCGCCTCAGTTTCCTCCACTGTGCAAATAGGGGTCTGGGGGGCAGTACCCGAAGCAAGGTGCCACCTCTAGCATCCCATGACAGCCCAGAGCACCACAGGAGCCCCCTTATTGTCCAAAACAAGCACCAGGGCTTTGTCACCTTCCCTCCTGCCCTCCAGGCCTCGTGCCTGTAGCAGCACCCAGGGCCCCTGCTCACCGGGCCCTGCCCCGCCTGGGCCACAGGGTAGAGTCAACAGCGGCGGCAGGGGAAGGGCTGACCCCGGGGGGTGGGACATCATGGCCCTCTCAGCAAAAGTGACTGTGAGTTCCCAAAATCCCTCTGAGCAAGGATGGTTGACCAATCCCCACTGGGGGCTCTGTGGGCCCTGAGGGGTCCCTGGTGCCTCTTACATCTTTCATCTTCTCAGTGTGGCCCCTGGCCCAGGACACAGGAGGGATTCAGAAGTGACCAAGAGGATCTCTGGCACGGGAAACGGTGTGGTCAGGCAGCGCCTCCAGCCAGACCAGCCCTGAGCTCCTCTCTCTGGCTTCCTGCCCCGCCCTGTGCTTCCTGGGCCCTGGTCACCCGCTCCCCTAACAGAGGGACCCTCCTTCCGAAGGCCACCAGCTTCCTGTTGAGCCCTGGCTCCCCATCCAACAGTCCAGCTCCACTCCCCCGAGGGGCCAGCACAGGCAGCCAGACTCACCACCAGGATCCCACCGAAAGCCCGCATGTTTTTGATCAGGTCCAGGATGGTACTAGCCACTACAGCCATCAGCTGAGACGGGGAGAAAGCACAGACCCGGTTCCTTCTGGTCCCACCAAGATGACACCAGCCCACCCACCACCCAACGCTGACCTGGAAAGGCAGGAGGAGACTGGTGACTTCCCAACCCACACACCTGTACACAAACCCCTCAAGCATCCAGACACACCTCACCTGTACACGCACCTGTATACACCCACAGCCCCCATACACACCTGTACACACACACCCAAGGCCTCACACACACACCTGTACAAACACCCACAGCCACCCATACAGGCCTCACCTGTACACATACCTGTACACACACCCACAGGCCCCCATACACACCTGTATACCCATACCTGTACACACACCCCACAGCTACCCATACACGCATCACCTGTACACACACCTGTACACACACCCATACACACCTCACCTGTACACACCCACAGGCCCCCATACACACCTGTATACCCATACCTGTACACACACACGCTCATACCTCTATGCCCACCCATACATACTCACACTTGTATATACCCACCCAGGTAGATGCATATACCCGCTTCCCTGCAGATACCTCCACCCACCCAGCCTCAGATGGGTCTAAGTCCAAGACCCTTGGTGAAGCCATGGTGTGCAGGGCCCCGGCCCACACTGCCCACCAACCCACTAAGGCTGGGTCAGCTCGTCCCTGGTCTGGAGGCTCCTAAGAAATGCCAACCTGGAGATGGCCAGTCAGCCCTGGGTGATAGGGTTTGAGATGGGGCCTCAGAGACCCCGTCAGGAACCCTGGCTACGGGCTACCCTGAGCCCCGGAGAAGGGCTTTCCAAGCAGCCTGGTTACCCCACCTGGTAAGTTAGGAGAACACAGCGCTGGATGGTAGCAGACAGGGACCATGCTGTACGTGTGTGCACACGTGATTTGTGTGCATGTATGTACATGCATGTGCGCATGTGTGTACAGGTGTGTGCAGGTGATCACGCATGTGTGTATGAGTGCACATGTGTGATTATTTATGTATATACAGTTGTGCTTGTATAAGCATATATTGTGTGTGCTCTAGTGTATGATTATGTGTACATGTGTGATTACATGCACATGTGTGTACAATTGTGTGTGGTTACACATATACACGTGTCAGTGTATGCACATGTATAGTTATGTCATGTGTGAGATGACACACGTGATTGTGTGGATGTGTGATTACGTGTGTGTGTGTATAATTGTATGTGTGCTTGTGGGGCTGTGTGTGTGTGATTACATGCCTGCATACACTATGTGTATGCGTGTGTATAATCGCACAGGCGTGTGTGTGTGTGTGTGTGTGTGTGTGTGTGTATGAAGGCCTCAGGGCAGCAGCCCCCCTCTGCACCCAGGACCCCCGAGCCACCTTCAGATGGGAAATACCCCTGAGTGACAGGTCACTCCCCTGACAGGCCAGGAGCGCAGCTTGCTAGGAAGGACAGACATGCACAGGGGAAGGACCTGGACACTTAGAAAGGGGTCAGATGTCCTCGGTTTCTTTTCTCCTGAAAAGTGCTTAGGAAAGCAGACGGGAGCCTCCGTGCCAGGCGGGAGCTGGGCCTGAGCACCCGCCTCCCGCCTCCCCTCCCCTCCCCTCCCCTCAAGGTGGGTGTTACTCCGGGTGGGAACATTAAGAGAAACCGAGGCTCAGAGACGGTCACAGGCCACACCGCTCCTGCTCTGGGGGTCCTGGAAACGAGCACCAGTAGCCACCAGCAGCCCGTGCCGAAGGCCTTTCAGAAACGCGGGATGCCTGGGAGCACACCAGTTCCTCAGGGGGACCCTGGGGTCAGGATGCCTGGGGTCAGGGACCCCAGGAGCACGAGGTCACCCCTGCAACTGGCCGACGGGCCTCACACGGGTCCCGCCTGCAACCCCTTGCTGTCCTCACCCACAAAGCAGGGCTGGACACTCATACCTCCAACCGCCGCCAGCATGGCCCAGCCGCAATGCAGGGCGGGGCCGCAGCCCGAAGGGCCCCAGGTGGCGGGGTCAGGTGGGCAGGGTGGACAGTGCTCAGCCCGGTCCCTGCCCACCTGGCACACCCACTCCCAGGGCAAGGCCACGGCATGCGCAGGCGGGGGCGGTACCTCCATGCTGGGAATGATGCGCAAGAAGCGGAAGGCTATGAACACGTTCACCAGCCGGGTCATGTCCCACAGCGACAGCAGGCCCAGCGCCTCTGGCTTCCTGGGGAGACACATAGAGACGGGTTGGGGAAGGCCGGGAGGCCAGCGAGGGGCAGACGGGAGACACGTGGTCCAGAGACAGAGACGCAGGGACTCAGAGAGAGCCACAGAAGTGCCGGGAACGTGCACCGTAGCCAACGCCAACCGGAAAAGCTCCTTCGTGACAAGAGGGCAGAGCCTGAGCCGCCCACGCCTGCAGCCCCAGGGCGGTCACGGCAACACCTTCCAGGGCACAGCCCCCCGCAGTGCTGCAGGGCTACCCGACCCCCGTCCTACACGGGAGAACACTGAGGTTCCGGACGCCCAGCTCAGGTCCCAGCAGAGCTGGGAGAGATGGGGCCCCGACCCATCCCCTATCCTCTGACCCCGTTCCCTAACCTCTGAGCCATCCCGAGCCCTGACCCTGTCCCCTTGGTGTCCCTCATGGCCTTACTGGCCTCTCATTTCTATTTAAATTTAAACCCATTCTCCCCCAAGATGTCACCCCCCAACCCCAGCCCACCCCGCCTCCCCAGTGCGGGTTTTAGCGCACTTGAGAAACAAGGTGAGCCGGCCCCAAGGTGCCGGGCGGTGCAGCAGCCCCACTGCTCCCAGGGCACAGGTCCCTGCTGAGGACCGCACGGCCCCCGTCTTCCCGACACAGACCCTTCCCGGGGCCCCACCCCCGTCTCGGGCAACTCCCAGCTGCTCCACTGAGACGGAAGCAGCCCAGCCGAGGGACCAAGACACCAGGGCTGCCCGAGGGCCCGAGGTCAGCACGCGTGCTTGCTGGCGGCTGTACTCTGGGCAGAGAGACCCCAAGGCTGCCACAAGCCACACTGCGAGGCGCCCTGGGACCCCTGGCCAGATGTCCATCGCTCAGCGCGGCTAGAACTGGTGGCAGCATGAGTTCAGCGAGCCCCGGGGCATCCCTGCCATCTACAGGGAGGTGAACTGACACCCAGAGTGGGAGGTGACGACCCCGGGTCACAGGGCCTCCAACCAGAGGAGGGCCCCAGCCCGATTCCAGTGCCCCCAGGACCTCCTTGCTTCTGGCCCCCAGTACACCTGGGCCCTGTGTCCCATCCTGGGCTGGGGGTCAGGGGGCGCTGAGCCAGGGCACTGCAATTGGCACCTCCACAGCTTCCCATCCCGGCTCTGGGAACGCTACCCTTCTGAAGGCGGCTACGATGAGAAGGGGCCTGTCCCCATAGGCCTCAGCAGGGCAGGAGCCACGGCCGCTCCCCCCGACAGTTGGGCGTTTGGCTCTAGAGCTGCCCGGGCCAGCAGCCGGGAGCCGGGCGCACACCCTTCCCCGGGGCGCGAGCCAGGCCTCCCTGGGTCCTCCACAGTCACGTACCAGCCCGGGTGTGGGAAGCGGTGCACAGCCAGAGTTGAGATCTCCAAAACCTTTAATCACAAAAGAAAAGAAGCTCGCGACAGCAAAGGCCCACTGGCAGCTCTAACACGCCGTCCCCAAAGGGGGTTCTGGGGAGAAATCAGGACCAGGGGGTCCTATCCCCACGGTGGGTGCCACGTGGGGACGTCCTGCAGCTGAGAAAGACACCTGGCCTCAGGCGTCGGGCTGTACACACGAAAGGCAGGGCTCGGGAAGGGCCGGCCGAGTGCCGGGCGTGGGAGAAGCTACTCGGTCAGCTGTCTCCCTCCTGTTCCCAGGGGCCCATGGCTCGAATCCATCAAACACGAATACGTGTCACGCCAATGTCGCTGCTGTGACACGCACACCGGGCGTGGCCCCTCACTCCCCCAGGCCCTGGGGAAGGTGTCCCGAGACCCGAGACCCGCGGTGCCCGAGAACCCCTGCCCCTCCCTCACCAACGTCGAGGCCCCACTGGCCAGCGGGGACTGAGGGTTCCCTCCCGGCCTCCCTCAGGGGTCAGGAGAGGCAGCCTGCCACCGCTGCACACCTCCACCCACGATGCTCAGATTCAGCAGAACCCAGCCTCCTGCAGCCACCCGCCAAGCAGTTCATCCGGGGGGAGGCCAGCCCCTGTGTCACCGGAGGCGGGAGCCCCAGTGCCCGCAGCCCCTGGGCCCAGCCAGACGCCGAGCGCTCACCGCCCGCCCGAGAGCACGCCTCGGCCCGTCTCAGACTTTACCAGCAGGACTTACCAGCAGGACGGCGGTGAGTAGCCCGTCGAACACATTGCTGGAGGAGACCAGGTACCTCCGCAGGCCCAGAGCAAACACCTTGAGCAGCATCTCCAGCAGGTAGTACAGGATGAAGACGCAGTTGAGAATCTGGAAAGGGAGAAGCGGGACCCGGCGTTCAGTCCCGGCGCCGCCCCCGCGCCCTGCCCCTCCCCGCACTGCAATGGGGCCCAGGAGGGATCCACGCGGCTTGGACGCCACAGGGCCCCTTGGATCCCGCCCTGCTGCACACGGGGGCTGGCCGGGGAGCAGACAGCCCCGCCCCTGCCGGAGCCACGTGACCCTCTCCTCGGCCCCCACCCTGGGCTGCTCTTCCCGACGCCCCCGCAGCCCCAGACACGGGCATCTTCAGAGCCCCCTTCTTGGCCCATAGCTTCTCCTCGGGTGACCTGCACCCCGTGCACGGCTTCAACAACAATTCGCACGTCTGCATCCCCCGGCCCAGACTCCCCCCACCATCCGACGGGCTCTCACAACCCCCCAGGCCCGGTGTCTCCCAACCCCACATCATTTCTATGCTGGCAGGGCCTGGGTCACCCACACCTCCTCGGGGGTCTCCGCCTCCAACCTGGCCCCTCTGGTCCAATCTCCTGGGGACACCGGGCAGTGTCCCTCCCTAACGGAACCTCCTGGCTCCCAGCAGCATCCTCCCAGTCCCTGGGGGATGTGTTTAGGAGGCCTCATCATCAAAGTTGGTCTCATGCTATGGGGTCACTGTCTTTTTTGAAGCCAGTAAGTAAAGTATCAAGTAGCTCTTCCCTTAAAGGGGGCTACGTCACGGTGGGGTGATGGGGGGCGTGGCGTCAGCTGAGCACTGCAGTCACCTTGTCCGGTGTCCAGTCTAAATTCTATATTCTTAGCCAATGCTGTCTCATTCACACCTACACAGAGATCACCATTAAAGGCAGAAGAATAAACATTATGAGCAGTTATCAAGGGGCATAAAATGATGGAATTCTGCAGTCACCTCAAGAACCCTACGTGGCATTGATCGGACCAGAAGTCTCTCATAAGCAATCAAGCTGACTCAAGTGCTTATCAAAACTATTGTTGGGGCTTCCCTGGTGGCGCAGTGGTTGAGAGTCCGCCTGCTGATGCAGGGGACGCAGGTTTGTGCCCCGGTCTGGGAAGATCCCACATGCCGCGGAGTGGCTGGGCCCGTGAGCCATGGCCGCTGAGCCTGTGCGTCCGGAGCCTGTGCTCCGCAACGGGAGAGGCCGCAGCAGTGAGAGGCCCGCATACCGCAAAAAAAAAAAAAAATCAACTGTATCCAACTTGACATTTGTCAGGAATAAAAACCAGCCACCTCTGCAATATGTTATTCACACAGAGGAGACTGAACAATTCCTGTTGAATCCAGGAAAAAAAAAAAATTAGGAAAGTAGAAAATTTGATTTTAAGTGTAAAACAGAGGAATTTCAAATAGCAGGTCAAGAGGCCATTTCCTCAATTTTGATGCTGTAAGTTTAACTCTATGTTTAACATACACGGCCTGATGTGTCATTTTTTAATTGGACAAATCAAGCTTTTCTTATATAATTAGAGAACATTCAATGGTTTTCATCAACTTAATATCATTCATAATATTTTTCATTAAAATAAACTTTAAAATACATGCTTTGTAAAGGTCTGGCATTATGGGGGCGGGGGCGGCGTGTACAGCTTTTTGCTTAAAATCCAAAACGGAAAAATTATTTTTAAGTTCCTAAGGAGTTTGACAAGACCTCAGAATGTTAGGAAAGGAATTCTCTCTACACAACTCTCCCTCCACCGTCCGGCCCCGCGTGACGGTCCAGCCGGGGCTCTGCACGGGCTCCCGACTGCCCTCCCATGGCCGGCACCCCGACCCCTGGGCCATCCCTGTGATGCACTAGGACAGCCCAGCCTCCCAGGGACCTGGGGCCCCAGGTGGGGAGGCTGTGCCCTCTACCCCCCTAACTCCCCATCACCCCGCACGGCTGGAAAGCTCACCCCCAGCACGAAGTCGTCACGGTCCTCGGGCAGCACATCTGCATCCAACACCAGGAACACCTGTGGAGCCAGAGCGGACGGCAACTCAGCCCCGAAGCCAGGAGGAAGGGAAAGTGAGAGATCTAGGGGGTGGGAGACGCCAGGGCAAATCCTCACTCACACAGATGGTCACGAGGTTTCCCAGGGCCATGAGGTTGCCCAGGTAGTCAAAGTAGTGGTGGCCAAAGAGGAACTGGGCGCTCTGCAGAAACGGAGACTGGTACTCGGGCCGCGGCGGGTGCTGGGGGGACACACACGCTCAGAAACATGCCGGAGGTGGCCATGGCCACAGGGGCCCAACGATGCCTGTACCCCCTTATCCTGGGATTTGACCTCTTCCTACCTTACTTCCTATCCCAGGCTCTCCAGCCTAAGGAAATCGTCTCAAACACAGTAACCGTTTTATGCGCAAAGATGTTCATCACAGTCTTTCTAACACCAAGAGAGGTGGAAATAACCCAGACGGCCACTGATGCTGTTAAGTAACCCGTGACGGACTATCACACAGTCGTCTTAAATGTATGCAAAGCGCCATGTGAAAATACACGTATAAATTACAAGCTAATAACTATGAAAACTCAGCACAGAACGAAAGGACCTCACACACTGTGACCAGGCTGGAGTGGAACTCAAAGGAAGGCAATTAGGCAACAAATACTTACGGGAAGACACCTGTCAGACCCAGCACTCCCATGCTCGGCACCCCCCAGAGCCAGGACAGAGGTGCAGGGCGGCCACCGCAGCGTGAGGTGGACCGCGCCTGCGCTGTCCCACACAGGGGCCGCTCACTGCACGTGGCCACTTGATTTAAATTTAAATCCGATCAAATTAAACACAGCTTCTCTGTCACGATAGCCACATCTCAAGTGGCATGAGGACACCCATGGAGCTCTGACCCAGCCCCACACTCAGACGCATGGTCCCTCGGTGACAAACAGCCACAGCGTGACCCAGTAAGAACGTTCCCAATCTTCCCACAGTCCTCCACGTGGGAACTGGTGCCCAGAGGCACCTGCCCACACTAGTACGGTGCGGGTGCAAAGAGAATTAGGTACCAATGCCCTCTGCACCCGCACCCATCCCTGCTGCACCCCAGAGGGTGGCTTCCTGCTTGCCCAGTGACTGCAGACCAGCTCTGGGCCGGGCAAACCGGCAAACGTCTCTGTCACCCTGTGGGCTGGACCACAGCTTCTCCAAGGGGGTGTGAACCCTGGCCTTGGGGAAGACGCCCCCTCCCAGCTCTGCTCTTCCTCAGGCATCTCCCTCACCCCTCAGGTACCACAGAGTTTCCTCGTATCTTACTCTTTCGTCACAGTTGACACTTCTTAATGTTAAACTTCCCCTGCTAAACCCGCTGTGTGGTTTCTGTCTCCTGCCTGGACCCAGGCTGTTATATTGGCCAAGAGAGATATCAGCGTTATCCATGATGTTTAAATGGTTACAGGAAGTAGGGACTCATAGATTACCTTGTTATCAAGAAATAACAAACCTTGAAATGATTTCAGTGATTGTCTCTGGGAAGGGGGACAGCTGGGTGGGTTTTTCTATTTTTCTCCACTACCTATAATGAATGACTGCTATGCTTTTAACCCAAAAAGCTTCTTATTAAAAGAAAAACAGACTTTTGGAAGCTGGCACAGTGCCTTCTCTACAACCAGTTAGCAAGAACTGACCAGTACTGGAGGCTAGGCTGATGGACAGGGGTTGACCACACATGGGAGGGCTCTCGTGGAAGGCTCATGTTTTCCTGGTATCAGCCTGCCTGGAGCACGCCTCTCTTCAGCAGCGAATCCAAATTCACAGGCTGCCGGGGAACCTGGGACAAGCCCCCACATGCTAACGATCCGTGAAGCGCCTGCCTGCCCCCTTGCAATCAGCATTTCGGGGTAAGAGGCTGTCATAAAACCAAGGCAAGAACACCACAGCTCCCCAAACCTCTAGGACCCAAACTCCCACCTCAAATCACAATTCTGGACTTTAGACCCAGGGAGTTGTGGGAAGAGAGAACATCCCATGGACCACACTAGGAAAGGCGTGGCCAGAGCAGGGGTGTGGTTAGGGCAGGGGCGTGGCCTGCGTGTTAGACCATCCCTGAGTCTGTGCCCAGCATGTGCCCTGCTCCGCCAGTCACAACCACAGCACCTCTTTTTTGATATCATCAGATCCTGATGCCAGAAGAGGAAGGGAGAGTCGGTTTTGGAAGACCCGGACCCAGCAGCATACTGCAGGCCAGCAGGCAAGTGCCCAGGGAGAGCCTGGCTGGCCCGGTGGAGCCCACCGAGCAAACCCTGAGAAAGGAGCCCGCCTTCCCAGACGTCTTCCTGCCCAGGTCAGCCTGAACCTGGAACGGGGCTGGATTGCATGACAGCTGCCGAGAGCTGCGTCCTGGGCCCAGCAAACCTCCTGCCCCAGGATGAGGGCCATCATCTAGAAAGGTGCTTCCTGATTTTCTGTCGTTTGAGGACCCACTGTCACAGTTTCTGCAAACGGCACACACTTACTATTTCCTTCGAGTCACCTGGAAGCAGACACTGTTGCCTAGCCTCTTCCCAAGAGAGGTGCGATGTGCACTAACATACAAAGTGTCTGCCTGTGTGTCCCTACCACCAACACCCATGCCCCGAGGGTGCCACCATGAGGATGCTGCTGACAACAGACATGCCACGTACGCACGGCCCAGAGCTCCAGGCCTAGCAGGGCTTGCCTCCAGGTGACCTGGAAAGACCTCAGGAAAACATGTTCTTAGGAAAACCACCTCTGACCGGGGCCTGAGGCCACAGAGGCTGACCACAAGACCTGGAGAAGCTGACATTTGTTGTGGGCTAAGATGTATCTCCCAAAATTGTATTTTGACATCCTGACCGCCAGAACCTCAGATGTGACTGTATTTGGAGTCAGGGTCTCCTAAGAGGAAATTAGGGGGAAATGAGGTCACTGGGGTGGGGCCCTAGTCCAACGTGACTGGGGTGCTTATAAGAGGAGGAGACCGGGACAGAGACACGCACAGAGGGACGACCCCGTGAGGACACAGGGAGAAGACGGCCGTCTACAAACCAGGGAGAGAGGCCTCAGGAGGACCAGCCCTGCCCACACCGGGATCTCAGACTTCCAGCCTCCGGGACTGGGAGATAATAAGCCCTGTTACTTAAGCACCTCCAGGCTGTGGTATTTGTTACAGAAGCTGAGCTGACTGACTCAACGGTGAAACAGAGCTGCTAGGAGTCCGATCAGCAGGAGATGTCTGATTCCACCTCTTCACTCCAATCCCCGTTCGAGTCCGGCTTGACCCTCTCAAGGCCAAGTGGCTGCAGTGGCAGCCCCCTCCGCTGCCCCCACGGTCTGCCTGTAAACAGCTCGGCTGTCTCTCAGCACCTCTGCCACCCCCCTCACCTACCCCACCCCACGCCCCCGCCTCCCAGAAACCTGCTACGTAAAATGCAGGTGGTCCAGGGTCTTATGGACACAGCACTGAGCTGGATGCTGAGGCCCATTTGGTAACTTTAAAACTCAGTGTCAAGGACAACAAACAAAGGTTTTAGACAAACTCAGGAACCTCCCAGGTTAGGACACGTGGGAAGAGGATAAAAGTCTATCACGGAGACGGAGAAAACTGTTTGGAAAGTTCCTCTGGGTCAAGACAACAGTCCCTGTGGCCTGTGAATTTCACGAGGTCAACAAAACCTCCCCAAGAGCCACCCCACCTCTGTTCCCATGTACCATCCCAAGGACCAGAATCCCCGCAAAGGCGAGTCCCGGCGATGGTCACTAAGCGTGACCCAGATGGTCAATGCCAACAGACACCGAGGACTTCCCCCAACCCCGGGTGGCCCTGGCACTGGGCAGGTGACTCCAGTCTGGCCCGTTACCTCTTTAATCACCCTTCTGTCAAACTCATCGAAGAGCTTCTGAAACTTGTCAGCTGACAGCAGGTCCCCACTGCGGGAACGCAGCTTCTGCAAAGCAGGAAAGCACAGGTCAACGGAGCAGCTGGGCTGAGGGCAGGAGCGGGGAGCTGCCCCTGGCCCCACCCGGACTGGGCCAGCCCGGCTGATCCGAAATGACACCCACATGACGCCCGGGGCCCAGAGGCACTGGCAGGGGAAGACGGGGGGCGGGGTCCGGTACCTCCGCGATGGCCTGTTTGTGGTCACGGTCCAGCTGGACCTTCTGAAGCACCTGCAGGAAGTCCTGGGGCTTCACCCCGACTCTGTGGGGAAAATGCCCCACCGTGAGCCCAGCCAGCTCAGCACCCTCGGGCGCCCCAACCTCTGGCCTGAGCAGCCCCGGGGGATGACAGGGCCTCCAAGAAGGAGCGCCTCATGGTCCTCCTGTGTCCAAACCCCGAGACCTCATCTTCCACCTTAGAGAGGAGCAGCTGAAGCTGGGAAAGGGGTGCAGTCTGACGGGCCCCGTGGCTAACGAGCAGGGGGCACTGAAGCTTCCCCAGTGACACGGCCTCCAAGCCAGGCGGCAGAGTCGATGTGTGTCCCAGGGCCCCTCTGGTCCCAACACACGAGTCACAGCACCAGGGTGTGGGAAGGGTGCCCCTGGCGGGGGACAGGTCAGAGTACACGGCCCCTCACCAGCCAGGGATCTCCAGCGGGTCACAAGAACACACGAGTTAACTCTGACGCAAGGACCATGGAAAGAAACCCTAGAGCCCATGGACGTCTTCGTGATCCCAAAGGAGCCTTGCAACCTGCTGCCAGCAGCGAGCTCGGCACAGAGTGGGTGCTCAGGAAACCCCCCCCCCCCGTGAACACCCCCTCCCAGAGCAGCCCCAGGGGAAGAGGGCTGGAGCCCCACACTCACCCCTCGGGGTGGGCTTCTCCCTCTGCCGTCATGGACGAGAGGACCTTGTAGGCAGCCCGGATGCCCAGGCACCTCCGCAACAGTGAGGTCTGCAGAGACTTCTGCAAAGAGTATGGCTCTGAGGGGCTCGGCTCAGCCCTCTCCCCAGCCGCCCAGCCCCTTGTCCCCGGGCAGCCCCCCCCCCCCCTGGCAGCCTGGGGAGCAGCTCCTTGCCCCGAGGGCATCAGGGGGACAGTCCCCGACAACAAGGGCTGGTCCTGCCGATAGCCACTCGCTGTGTAATTCACTAAGGTATGCGTTTCTTCTCGGCAGATTTGGGGTCCCTGGCCCCCCTGCAAGGTGGGTTTGGGGGTCACTGCAAGAAGACTGCAGCTCCCTCTAGAGGAGGTGGGGCAGGGGAGGGACCCCAGGGTGGTGCTGGGGACAGCACCTCCTGGAGGGCAGGGAGGGAGGATGGGCCCAGTCCCCCTCACCCACAAGAGGGAGCCGGGGCAGTGCCGAGGCCACTGCGGACCCTGTCCCCCCAGCCCCCCGCTGCCCAGCTTCCCACCAGGCCTCCAGGGACAGCTCCGCTCACAGCCGGGCAGGGCGGGCAGCTCAGCTCACCATCAGGTAGCCCCGGAACTGGTTGTAGATGACGGCCGTCAGCAGGTTCATCAAAAACAAGCTCCCTTGGAGAGGAAGAGGCCATGGTGAGTGGGGAGCACATGGGCAGGGGCAGAGTCTGGAAGGACCACCAGCGCTGGGGGCCCAGAGGGTCGACACGGGCATAGCAAGAAGGTGAGCAGCGAGAAAGGCCCAGATGGGCAGAGACAGGGCCTGGGTCCTGGGGGCCTCGTCTGCGGACGGGGGTGCCACCTGGCCTGCCCAGCAGGGGCACTGAGGACAAGTCACCAGTGGTCACAGAATGAAAACCACGGACGGGCCACAGAGAGATGAAGTTACAGGACTGGGGAGGTCCCGCCGAGGTGCGGTCACAGGGTCGGGGGTCCACTGAGGGGAAGTTGTGGGGTCTGGGGAGCACACCCAGCCCCGAGTTTTCGGGATCTTGTCTGCCCCACGTGACCCTGCAGACCTGCCCAGACTCACCTATCAGGGTGAAGGCTATGAAAAAGATGGCGTAGAGCCGGTTCTTGGAATAGGCAGGAATCATCACTGAAAGAAATTAAAGGAAATAAAACACACCCACAGATCCAGTGTCCAGTCTGATTCCCTTCATTGTCTCACACCACTGCCTTCTCAACAGAAATGAGGGCCCTGTGTTAGGAGAGCTGGGAGGTCTTCTTGTCCAACTCTGCTCCTCACGCCTCTGCTTGCACACCCACGGGGACAGGGAACTCACTACCTTTCGAAGATGCTCATCCTCTAGGCTTCCCCATGACCACGCCTCCCAGACTGAAAGTTCAGCTCTCCCTTGGGTGACTCGAGGACTCACAGGACACGTGGGGACGGTGCTCAGGTATGAAAGCCAGTGGCTACCCTCCCGGGAGGGTCTCTATGGTCAGTGACCATCCGAGCCCAAGATGAAAGGCCTCAGCCAGGGCGGCCAGGCCACAGCTGAGCCCCAGAGGACCGTGACCACCCCATCCTGGCCACATCCCCGGCCCGAGCGAACAGAGGCCCCATCAGCAACCCTGACACAGTGAGCGTCACAGCCACCGGAGACCCCAGGGCCTCTCACACGCGGTGCGGCCAAGCCTCACCCCACGGCTGGGCTGCCAAGAGACCACCAAGGGCCCCGCTGAGCACAGCTTGATCCATCACCACACAAAGAACACCGTCCACCTCTAGCTTCTCAGAACGCAGACAACAAGGGGAAGAGGAGAATGGAACAGAGAAGGAAAATTGGGAAGAAAAGGGAAGAAAACGGGAAAAAGCCGGAGAGAGAAGGGAAACTAGAAAAAGAGAAAAAGAAAATCAAGAAGGAAAGGAAGGTAGGAGGGAGGCTCCAGCATCACACTTGGGTTCCCCAGCTCTCGACAAAAAGACCTTAGGGGCTCCCACCCCCTGAGCTGGGCTCTCGGGCTCAGTGCTGACTCCGCCCCCTGCCCCGCCCCGCCCAACAGGGCCCCTAGCCCCGCCCCACCCTCCTGGTCACGCACCATCAGGGCTGTTGGCGGTGGTGAGCAACACCAGGAGGGAGGTCAGAGCCTCGGGCAGGTTGCGGAAGTAGGTCAGCCGCTGCCTGTCCCGCCTGTCGTCCTGCGAACGGACGTGGCAGCGCTGAGGTGCCACCCGGGCCTTAGGCCACCAAAGCCCAGGCCCGGGACCCAGCAAGCCAGGACCACCCACCGAGGCTCAGCAGCCCCGGACCCGCACCTCCCCATCACCTCCCAGCGGGCTCCGAGCTTGAGGCCGGACAGGACCTAACGCAGGACCTCCGGGCCCGAGGGCCAGCGTCCGGGGATGCCACACACCCACACGGACACCAGCCACTCGGCCAGCCTGGCAGAGAGCATCACAGCCTAGACACAGAGAGGGCCCATGCGGGGGCCAGCCAGCCCGCTCTCAGCCAGACTCTCCACACGCCATGCCGTGTGCCTTCCACCCAGTGTGGGTGGAAGGCGTGGCGCCCAGACACACAAAACCACCTGATCACTTGGGGAGCCCTGCAAAGCCGCTTTCCCAGCTGCCGCCCAAGGGCCAGCCCTCCAGCAGACACCCTGGAACCCTCAGCGTTCTCAGGTCAGAGGCCCACCCCAGCCGCCCGCGCCCAGTGCACCCACCCTCCCTGTCCTGGGCTCCGCGAACAGCAGGGTCACTGGACAGACACGCGGGGCCTGAGAGTCTGTTAGCCAGTCCCACACTTCACAGCCTAGGTGCCCCCGACACCCAGACACGCACACACAGAGACATACAGAGACACACATACGCACACACACACATGCATGCGCGAAGCGGAACTCCTCCCCGGGGGTCTGAGGGATGGTCTTCGTCTTCCATCACGGGCAGCACGGCCACAACCCCCAAGTGTTGCCACGAACTCACTGCAGACCAGCCCTGGCCAAGCACCGGGCAGGATCCCAGGACAGAGGCGCACGACAGCCCCGCCCTGAGGAGGACGGTGACCCCGGCCAGGACACCAGGAAAGAACACGGGACGGCAGATGCAAGGCAGGCCCCACGGGTGACACCTCCGCACAGCAACAAGCTGCCGGGGGCCGGGCAGCAGTGAGGGGCTGGGAGGGAAGGGGGCCCACGCGGGGAGGGGAGCAAGTGGTGGGAGGTGCCCTCTGGAGAGGCGGGCAGGGGCGGTGAGAGGGGCCATCCTGATGGCTAGTCTGAGGGGCCTCCATCTAAGTGAGGTACGGAGAAGGCGGGTCAGCAACCGGCCCAGGAGAGGGGGCACTTGGGAAGGGGACGAAGAGGCAGCCAGGCAGAGTCGAGTAGCCAGAGCCCAGGAGGCCCGGGCCAGACACCCTGGAGATGTAGCCGCTTGAAGAAAGATGCCTGGGCTCCAGGTGGGCCACTACTGACCTCCTGGTGACGAGCTGGGCGGGCAGCCTAACCTGGTCCCCATCTCTGCCAGCCCGAGAACTACCTGGCGGATTAACTAGGGGCGGCGCTGTCCATCACCCTGCAGGGAGCCTGCCCGCTGGGAACAGGGCAGAGCGCAGAGAGCACAGTACCTTCTCGCAGGGAAGCAGCAGCATCGCCAGCACGGTGAAGAGGCCCAGGTGGGCGGCCAGCAGCAGCCCAACGCTGGGGCGAGAGCGGCACTCAGCACTGGGCAGGCGGGCTCCGGGATAGCCGACCCGGCCGTGCAGGGAGCTCCCCGCAGCCGAGGCCCTGGGCCAGGTCCCTCCTCCGCCCCAGACCTGCCGCCCTCCCGCGCAGGGGTCCTGCTCAGGGGAAAAGCGCAACCCCGGGGGAGTGTCCCAGGACCCCCGGACTCTCAGAGGGGAAAGGCCACTTCCATTAACCCGGGCCTGACGGGGAGGGTCGTCCACGAGAGTCATGGGAGTGGGGTGGGGGATGGCGGGGAGGGGAGGGGTCAGAGCCAAGGTGGGAAGGGCCCGCAGGACAGAGCAGGGGGCGGGGCTCGAAGCAAGGCCATTTAGGGGGCCGCCCTGAGTGTGAGACAGAGCCCCCCAAACGCCCACCCACCGGCCTCCCGAGATCAGGGGAGGGGAGCCCCCGCCCCGCTCTGCCAGCCCCCTGGCACCAGCGCCCACCTGGCCATCTCTGGCAGCGACCACCTGATGCACTTGAGCGTCTTCTTCATCATGGAGGAGCTCTGCATCAGGAAGAAGGGGCGCAGGAGCCGGCGCACCCGCACGGGCTGCAAGAGGCCAGGACCCGGGGCCCTGAGCACAGCCACTGCAGGCCGGCAGACGGCACGCGGGCCCAGGGGCCCGACGCTCTGCACGAGGACGCGCTGCACGAGGACGCTCTGCACGAGGACGCGCTGCACGAGGACGCTCTGCACGAGGACGCGCTGCACGAGGACGCGCTGCACGAGGACGCTCTGCACGAGGACGCGCTGCACGAGGACGCGCTGCACGAGGACGCTCTGCACGAGGACGCGCTGCACGAGGACGCGCTGCACGAGGACGGCCCCGGCCCCGGCTGTCTGTGGGCTCCCAGCGTGCCCGGCCTTGACCCCGCAGGCTCAACACCCTCCCCGCTCCCTCCCGGGGCCCAGCTCGGAACCCCAGCCCCCAGACCTGCCAGCACCGGGGAAGGGGGGCGACCAGCGTGCCTCTCCAGCACCCCACTCCTGCTCTGGCCGCAGCTGGGCGCCCTGCACTTGTCTGTGAAGCCGGCTGTCCTGCCCTCTGGGCACTCCTCAGGCCTCCTCTCCGCAGCCCCCAGCCCCTCTGCTCGGCTCCGGGCCTCAGCCTCCAGCACAGGTGCACAGAAACGGAGCAGGAACCCCACACCTCCACTCACACGCACACGTGAACACACACACTCCTCCCTCCTGTCACAGCCAAACAGCCCTCCTCCCGTGCTCAGGACCCCGGCCCCTCAGAGGCTCCCCTCAGGGGCCCTTCCTCCCTCCCCCACGTGGACACAAACACCACGTGTTTCCACAACCTGCCACTCGCAACAAAAACGACACTCGCCCCTTTGTTCCGAAGCAAGGCCATTTAGGGGGCCGCCCTGAGTGTGAGACAGAGCCCCCCAAACGCCCACCCACCGGCCTCCCGAGATCAGGGGAGGGGAGCCCCCGCCCCGCTCTGCCAGCCCCCTGGCACCAGCGCCCACCTGGCCATCTCTGGCAGCGACCACCTGATGCACTTGAGCGTCTTCTTCATCATGGAGGAGCTCTGCATCAGGAAGAAGGGGCGCAGGAGCCGGCGCACCCGCACGGGCTGCAAGAGGCCAGGACCCGGGGCCCTGAGCACAGCCACTGCAGGCCGGCAGACGGCACGCGGGCCCAGGGGCCCGACGCTCTGCACGAGGACGCGCTGCACGAGGACGCTCTGCACGAGGACGCGCTGCACGAGGACGCTCTGCACGAGGACGCGCTGCACGAGGACGCGCTGCACGAGGACGCTCTGCACGAGGACGCGCTGCACGAGGACGCGCTGCACGAGGACGCTCTGCACGAGGACGCGCTGCACGAGGACGCGCTGCACGAGGACGGCCCCGGCCCCGGCTGTCTGTGGGCTCCCAGCGTGCCCGGCCTTGACCCCGCAGGCTCAACACCCTCCCCGCTCCCTCCCGGGGCCCAGCTCGGAACCCCAGCCCCCAGACCTGCCAGCACCGGGGAAGGGGGGCGACCAGCGTGCCTCTCCAGCACCCCACTCCTGCTCTGGCCGCAGCTGGGCGCCCTGCACTTGTCTGTGAAGCCGGCTGTCCTGCCCTCTGGGCACTCCTCAGGCCTCCTCTCCGCAGCCCCCAGCCCCTCTGCTCGGCTCCGGGCCTCAGCCTCCAGCACAGGTGCACAGAAACGGAGCAGGAACCCCACACCTCCACTCACACGCACACGTGAACACACACACTCCTCCCTCCTGTCACAGCCAAACAGCCCTCCTCCCGTGCTCAGGACCCCGGCCCCTCAGAGGCTCCCCTCAGGGGCCCTTCCTCCCTCCCCCACGTGGACACAAACACCACGTGTTTCCACAACCTGCCACTCGCAACAAAAACGACACTCGCCCCTTTGTTCACCCGTTTCCCACTCCCGCCCCAGCCAATCTGTCCTCCTGTCCAAGGGCAGGGGACCCACCTGCGGTGACCACCAGGCCTCTGAGCCCAAGGTCACCTCCCATCTTCCTGCCAGGATTGGCAGCTGCCCCGCCCTGCAGCCCGGCCCGCCTCCTCTGTGCCCGACCATGCGCTGGACGCCCTGAGGCCCCTCCTCCCCACCCTCTGGCCTCACACCTCAGGGAACATGTCCGTCCTTGGGATTTTAAGGGTCACAACGCGTTCAATCTCCAACCCAAGCTCTCAACTCCAGACGCATCCTAATGGAGGTCTTCTCTCAGAAACGAAAGGCTGATGGAGTCGCCTCCCGGCCCAGCCCTCCGGGGCTGCCTGGAGGCCCAGGGCACCCACCCACCCCTCCCCGTCCCACTGGCCCACTGGCCTCCGCGCTCGGCACCGCCATCCCCCCCCACACACACCACACACCCCCACACAAGCTCAGCGGGCTGCTCGCACTGGGACCTTCCATCCGGCCATCAGTGCCACCTCCAGCACTGCATTGGCGACCTTCCTTCTAGCCACTTGCCTCGATTTTTTTTTCCCCCGCCCCCGCACACATCTGGTGCTTCCTGGTACCGTCAGCCCCTCTCACAACAGAATGAGGCCCGCCAGCAGCAGCGCACAGTAGGCCCTCAAATGTCTGCAGCGTGAGCGTCCCAAGGACTCACTCGGCCTCCCCAGGCTGCACTCGCCCTCAGAAGGGGCCCCGGCTGCCGACAGGACTGAGAAGGAGAGGGAAACAGCGGTGAACGGGCGAGGCTCAGGGGTCTGCCCCACTCCCAGGCTGAGGGACCAGGGCCCCAGCTCACCCACACGCTCGCTGCCCCTGGGCGAAAGCTCCAGTCTCGGGGCCCATATCAGGAGTCTTTTAGCCCGTCCCCCAGGCCGAGCAGGAGCTAGAGGTCCAGCCGCATCCACTCCCCGGGTGCTGGGCCCTCGCCTGTAGTCAGACACAGACCAAAGCACGGCTTCTTCCAGACGCAATCACCCCGCCCAACCCAACCCACCGAAGGCCTTCCCGACGGCTGGGGCCACATCACTGCCACGGATGCAGGGAACACATGTGAAGGGTGGGAAGACGTTCCCACGTGACCGGCCTGCAAGGAGAGCCGGCCCAGAGCCAGCTAAGCCCCTGGCGAGGCTTAAATCACACTGAGAATCACAGCCTAGGCCTCTGAGCCTTTAGAAAGAAGCTACCAACTAATCTGCAGAGAACTAGTCTCTTATGAGAAACAGCCACGGCAGTCATGAGTACAGCCTATCAGCTGACCAGTAGACCATGTGACCTGACCCTCCAGCCACCAGGCTGGGGAAGCAGGACTCCACCAGGTGCAAAAGGACAGGAAAGACCAGACTGGAGCAGGTCAGAGGCCCCGGTCCTCCTGCAGGCCCCAAGGCCGGGGGAGCTCTTGAAGACCAGCCAGCTGGCCACGGAGAAGCACCTTGGGCTTGGTGTGCACAGTTCTGGGTGATGGGCCAGTCCCAGCCAGAAGTGGACGCGTGTGGCGTTACAACCTCTACGGGCAAGTCCCTTAGCGACAGTCCCACAGCGGGGACTTTACAGAGGGCAGGGTCCACCCTGTACGGACCAGAAAGGTAATGACTCCCAGGGGGTCAGGGCCATGGAAAGGACAGCCTGGGCGTCTGGGGACAAGACCGTCCGAGAGGACACGTGTGGGTGGGCAGAGAGTGCCCCCACCACGAGGCAGCAGGAGGAGGCTCTCTGGACAGATGACACATCTGTGGACGTCCTCAGCCTCTCCCCTGGCCACCCCGCACCGATCTCCACAGGCCACAGGCAAAGTGGCCACAGAGCAGGGACGGGGGTGACGCCCGGCGCCAACGACATGGACCCCCACACACACCCAGGCCACTACTGGGGGCCCACCCTGCCAGAAGCAGAGCCCAGAGCCGGCCCCCAGGCGGCCCCCATGGGGACCCACCAGCCCCTCCCCAAGCAAGGCCCTCAGCTGTCCTCAGCGGACATGCAGGCGGGGGTTATGGGCTCTGCCTGCCCTGCCCTCCATGCCTCTCCCAGGACCACCGTCTGAGCCTCAGGACCAATGCTGCATCCAACCCGGGCACAGCCCACAGCTCCCACCGGCCTTACCATGGCCCTACCCCAAAGCAGCTGGCCTGTGGGAGGGCCTGGTGGCCCTGAGGCGGGGCGGGGGGGTGAGAGGGACAGCCCCTCGTGGGGTAGGAAAACCAGCAGAGACTCTGAGCACTAGGACAAAATGCGAGCAGCAACACCTCCACTCCCCACCCCACAACCCCGGGCCCTGCTGGTCCGGAAGCATCTGCTCCCAAGATGCTTGTACCAGGGCCGCACGCTGGGCCCTGGTACTGGGCTGGACCACAGCTGTTCGTGAAAAGAGGGCTGGGGGCCAATGTGGGCAAAAAAGCTCCAATTACCAAGGACAGATTGGGATGTTGCTGCCCAGAGGGGCAGGGAGGTCTGCGTCCAACATGAAAAATTATCACCAAACTCCAGTAATAAAAAGCCAGGACCACCGAGGACCCAGGCCCCTCGGGAAGGAAAGCCTGGGTCCCCGTACAAGGGGACCCAAGGCATGTGGGGCTGGAGCAGGGGGCAGCTGGGCTCCTGGGCCACTAACCACACAAGGCCTGCGGGTCTTCATGGCCAGTTACACAGACACAGGTTTGTATACAGCAATGGCCCCCTTTCCCCTCCCCCTCTTCCTAATCTCACGCAAGGCCCCTTGGTGGTGCTGAGGTTCACAATCCAGCCTTAAAGTGACAAATGCTCAGGTGACATGAGATGGTCACTCAGAGGTAGGGCCGGCGGTGGTTAGGCTGGTGTCTGTCCCCTTTCTGGGGGCGGGTGAGGGCCTCCTCCTTGGTACGAAGACGGCAGCACCTTCTCATGGAGAAGCATGTGCTGTTGCGCTCCTACAGGGCCACGGCGGAGGCATGGGGGCTGCAGGGGGCACTGCGCCCTCCACCCACCCTGCGGCCCGGCTGTGAGCTGGGCCAGGACCCGCCACTGACACCTCTCCTTCATCGGCCACCCCTGCCTAGTGGGAAGGAGGCAGGAGGCACCGGCTGGGGACCCGCTGGCTCCCGTCATCTTGCTGCTCCCGCCAGCAGCACCCAGGGCGTCCAGCGTCCCCCTCCTCCAGCACCCCCAGAACCAGCATCGTGGTCACACCTCCTGGAGGAGCCAGCACCCCGTCCCCAGAGGGCAGGGTCCCAGCTCTCGGAGCCCCTCCCCTGAGCTTCCAGGTTCCATAACCCCAATCTCCTTCCTTTCCTGCCCTAGCCCCAGGTTAGGGGGGCAGGGGGGTTGCTGCCTGCAGGTCTGTGTTTCCCGGGCCCCCCTCTCGATTTCTTGCTTACTCATCCCCTGTCTGAGGCCCGATGTTAAATTCTCTCGACTAAAGCACCTGATGGGCTTCTGTGTCCCCGACCAGCCCTGATGGGTCAGGATGGCTCAGGATGTCCCCAAACCAACTGCTCCCAGCTCTGCTCTATCAAATCACAGGGCGATGCTTCTGGGCGTTCGGGGGGAACAGAGATGCTGTCATCAGCAAGGCTGGGGGCTGCCAGCTCGGCTGAGGCAGGGCGGGAACACCAGAACTCACCCCCAGGGCCCTGCGCCTCCCCTAGGCCTCAGTGTCTTCATCTGCAAGAGGCGGACAAAGCTCCCTGGCCCGTGGGTGACTGACGTGCTCTGGAGGGCGGGCAGAGCCGGGCAGGTGGGCCGGACGGATGCAGGGCCTCGGGACTCCCGCCCACCGTTCCCCTGGGCAGCTGCGTCCCCCCAACCCCCAGAGCTCCCCGCCGCCCCCCTCAGAGTCGCCTCGCCACCTACCTCCTGACAAATGAGGCTCAGCGACACGGTCCAGTCCAGGAGAGACACGAGCAGCACCACGAGGTAGGCCAGCAGCCAGGGGTTCTTCCGAAACTGGGCCCACCCAACCAGGTAGCTCTGCAAGAGGGACGCGGCTGAGCCGGGGGGCGACCACACAGACCCTGGCCGGGCAGCTGGTCTGAGGCCTGTGATGCACGCGGGTGAGGCTAGGCAGCCTCAGCGAGCATCACGGTCCCCGCAGGACTCACAGCAAGAAGCTGAGCAACGGTCAGAAGGCCCACGGTCCTCGCCCAGCCTGCTGGTGACCCCGGGCAGCCCGTGACCCCGGGCTCCGCACTGACCGGCTGCACCCATGTCCTCACGGGTAACGTCCTACCTGTCCCGCCTACCCAACCACCACTGTAGCTTGTGCCTAGGAATCGTTCCAGAAAAGACTAGGAATCTGACCAGATGCGCAGGGGATGTGCCTTGGGAAGGTGGGAGTTCGTCACCTGTTCAGCGCACCTAACTGCCCTTTCCCATCACTGACCCCCGCTGGAGGTCACAGCTTGCATATGAAACACGTGCTCTCTCTCACCTTTTGAGACTTCCCAAATGGACCAACCATTCCAAACAGGCTAATGAGAACTTCTAACCAGTTTCAGTTCCAGTTCAAAAACCCCCAGACCTCCTAACCACATTATAGGCTAAAAAAGAAGAAATAAGAAACTGCCTGGGCCCTCAGTCACACACACATGCATCAACACTCACCCACGTCCCTCGGGGTCAGGCCACAGAGGCCAAACCACCCTGCAAGAGGGTGCCCTGCAGGCAGGGTGTGGACGTGCACGTGGGCCGGGGCTGGAGCAACGGAACTGAAACCCTGACACAGCTCAGCTCACGCAAGCAAGGCAGGGCCCACCTCCAGCTTCTAGAAGGGCCTGGGTCACGAAGCCAGAGCTGCACACGGCCGGGGGCGGGACAGCAGCCCCTCCCCTACGGGCTTCTCCTCTGTCGGGGTAGAGCGTAGGCCATGGAGAGATGCCCAGTCCCCTCTTGTTCAGCGGGGGCCCCTCCCCACAGAGGCACTGCTGGACCCTCGGCCACTCTCTCCCGGGGTCCCGCAAGGCACTGCACCCCCGATGGCTCAGCCATCCCCCATCGGTGGTCTGGGAGCGGGGAGAGCCGTCCAGGAGGCAGCCTAGGCCTCTGCTCCGTGGGTCGAAGTGCACAGTGGGACAGGCAGCTTGCTCCAGGAGCGCAAAAAATAAACCCAGGAAGCAGCAGCCGGACCGGGAGGGCGCGGGTCCCAACCTCAGCACCTGTGCAGCCCCCTCACCTTCACGGAGACGTCGGCCGCGAAGACCAGCAGGCAGAGTGCCTCGACGCCCTCAGTCAGGCCGCAGGGCGGCTCCCAGGGGGCCGGGCGGTAGCGCACATCAGAGGTGCTGGTGAGTGAGGAGGGGGTCTCAATAAAAGCCAAAGCCAGGATCAAGAAAGTGGTGAAGCTCAGAATCCTGGAAAAGGGACCGAAACTGGTCAAAAGGCAAGAACCAGCCACACTCGGGGGCCAAAAAAGCAGATGAGCAGGCGGGACGCCTGGAAGGCAGCAGGGCACACTCCACGGGTCCAAAGGCCGGAGCCCACACTTCCTGCTCCGTGGCCACTCGTGTGTGTGGTCAGATAACACGTATCGGCGCACAACTCAATTGCCGTGGCTGGCCGGAAGGCTCTGGAAAGGAACCCTCACCACAGAGGGGCCGGGCTCTGCTCCGATAAGGAGGGGAGACAGCGGGGAGGGGAGCCTGCCTGACCCCTGAGACCAGCCCCCTCCCCAGGCCCGGCTGCGGGAGCCCTGCCGCGCGCGCACGTGCACTCTCACCACTGGCTCGTGCTGGAGTAGTACCATCGGTACAGCCACAGAGACCTGGCGTCCACGCGGTGGTTGATGGAGCGATACTGGAAGTGAAGGTCACACGGGGCACGTGAGGGTCCCCTCCGTGCCACACAGCACAGCCAGCCCCGTGCAGGGCACCCCTCTCACCCACAACAGGCCCGAGGTGGGGACACAGGCTGGGGATCGCAGGGTCCACCTCCACTCAGTACAGGGACCAGGGGCTCGTCGGGACCCAGCAGGGTCAGACCCTCCCAAGCTGCAAGGTTTCCCCAGGGCCGGTAGGTGGACGGACACTTGCTGGCTGGATGCACAGCTGTGCCCTGTCTGTGAGGCTCCCCTCCTCTGTGCAAGGCTGTCCCCCC